CTCCCCCCCCCCCGGCCCGGGCTCCGGGCGGGCTCGCCGCTCCGCCTCGGAGCCGCGGGAGATGTTTCACGAACCGCTTTCCTCCCAAGCAGGCGGCAGGCGTTGGAGCGCGGCGCGAAGGAACGAAGCCGGCGCCTTCGAGAGACTGCCCGGGGCAGAGGTCCCTTCCCAGCGCCCTGGGAAACGCGGGCTCCTGCCGGAGCTACCGCGGTGATCACGCTCGGCTGCCTGACGTAAGGAATTTGAATCCGTGCACTAGCAAACACCTAAATTACCAGCCCGGTTTTCAGCGGCTTCCACTGCTCCTGAAGCCCACGGCACGTCCAGGGCACGCAGGGGAACAGACCTGCTTCAGAAGCCAGATTTGGGGATCACAGGCGGCACCCGCTACGGCAGTGCCCTTATTCTGGCCAAGGAGAAAGGCTGCTCCCAAGCCCTTGCACAGGAGCTCTTCACTCCTCCTCAGTGAATGTGGGTGGAAGGGCAATTTGAACCAAAGTACTCATACCAAGCCCTAGATCTGCTAGTCAAGACATAACCCACAGCAGGTCACAGACAGAGAGACAGCTCACGTTCAGGCCTGGTGCTGGGGAATGACAGCACCCAAAATCTCATGCACCCAAAATACCCCCAACTGCATCCAGAGCCCAGAAAGCTAAGACTCAAAGCATGACTTAGGTCCTGCCTTCCTCCCAGAGGTAAAATCTGGCTTGCCTATTGCTCTGTGGCCGGTGGCTCTTGTGCCTAGGGGTGGAGTGCTGACTGCTGCTACCACACACCAAAGTCGGGGATTTTAACGCCAGAGACGTCTGAAATCCTCTGTGTCTACAAGTCCACCCAGCCTAGGCGTGCATATCATTTGGTACTGTCAACCTTGATGCTTAACAACTTTTTAAAAAAAAAGGCAAAAAAAAGCTCAAGTACCCATACCTCTTTGCTTTCCGCTGTAAGTTTTGCCTGTAATAAAGCTACACGGAAGAAAATTACAAGTCACATGTTCCTCTGGAACATGGTGGCATATCCCTATAGCAGGAGTCATAACTTTCAATTCTCCCCAACAATGAGTTTCTGTGAACTAGCAGCCCAGCAGAAAGCAATCACAGAGAGTTTCATTATGGCTTTCAGTTGATTATCCAAATTATAGCTGAGAGTAGAGGGCAGCCTTTTTATTATCATCATTGCTGTACAATTAGAAAATGCTGATGAAGCTCCACAAGACCAGAAATTCTCTTTTTTGCTGGTATTTTTCATTTTTATAAGCGTTCCCTTGGGCAGTATCTTGGTTTCATTTGACACACAATGGGGAACAGGCACATAGGTGGGAAGGGAGAAGATAAGAAGGGGAAAACAGGGCAGCTCTTCATTTCAGTCAATCTATCAACTCTTGTAGCCTGGTTCAGGTTTCACCACTCCTCCAGATGTATCTAATTCTTAGAGCCTGGCTGTAAATAATGCTGCATTTGCTACACTGGGGACACATAAAATCCAATTAAGAGCCAGGTAGACATCTGTTGGCTTGCTCTGTGCTTCTGTTTCCTTTTTGTTTTTTATGAATACGTAGCAGAGCAACCAGATCAGGATTAAATATGGTGTAAGTGCAAGTACAGTTGATAGGCTTGTTATTCATCTCTACAGTACAGTATGAGAGTACAGTGCTTTATGTGCATCTAGCACTATTAGCGACAGAAGCTGTGCAGGCACAAAACCTACCGTGCCAAACCCTGGAGACATAAGTGTTTCCCGCCCCTAAGAACTTGCTGTTGTTAAAAAACTCTGCAAATTATTAGGAAATCGCTTTACCTTTAATCTGTGTGCAGAGGTGTTCACGAAGCTCCACCATGCTAGACAGGTCTGCTTGGGAGTCCAGCTAGTCCCTGCTTGTGGCTCCAGCCCAGAGGATATGGGCATGGGCTGACAATATATGTATCCTCACAGACATATATATCCACCTGTTGAAGCATTTTCAGCTGGGATGCAGCAGTTTCTGGTAGAAGCGGAAAGTAAAAAGGTGGTAAATATTTCTATATTTGCTTCTTTCACTGCTGTATTGTCAGCCTACACTGTTTACCTGGACAAACTGCCTTTGTGAAGGATACTGTGACTTTTAAAAGACTTTAGAAAAGGACTAAGTGAGCTTCCTTTGTAAAGACTAGCTATTGCCCTTGCCCTTGTTAGAGAACTCAGCAGACTTTTGCAAAGAGCTTTTCAGCCCAGGCTCTGGGCGGGGACAAAGCCAAGGAGCACTGATCTCGCTCTTGGCTTTGCCTGTACCAAAGCAGGGCAGGAACCTCCTGCCCCTCTTGTTGTAGGACCAGCACGCCGTCCCTGGCCCTCGACCCTTCTTGCTTGGAGCAGCAAATCCCGGTTTTGTCTGCACTGCTGACAAGTCTCCGGCTCCCAGGAAGGGAGCGGTGGGGGCCCAGCGCAGGTGACTATGGGCTCCTGGTGCCGGTGGGCAGCCTGCCAGTCACCCCAGCTGGAGGCTGCGCTAGCTCAGGCGCTGCACGAATTAGCAGTGACCCCTGATAACGAACTGCTTGAGCGAGGGGGTGCTAGGGACCACAGGCTGGTTTGCAGCAGCACGACACTGGCAAGGCTGTGCCTTACTGCCTGCCGCAGGTGCAGAGACGGACAGCCGTCACGTTTGGCATCATGATGCAGCCCCCAGCCAGCTCCAGCACAGCAGACCCACCGTGTACTGGTACAAAAGGAGATCGATGTTTCCCCTACGCACAGGACACGGTTGCATGCTGCACCAAGACAGGCGTGCTTCTGCTTCCACCCATGGCAAGCGTCTGCGTTCCCACCTGGGAGTCGCAAGGCTGCGGGCTGCCAGCACTGCAAACCCCAGCACCAAGACTAACCTCGCGTAACTGGACCTGGAGGGGGGCTTCTAAGTAAGAGACCAAGGTCCTTGCTGCTCCGCAGGCAGGAGGGACCTGGCAAGTAGGGAGACAGGGCAGCTCTTAGTCCTTTGCGAGCAGGCAGAGTAGAATGAGAATCACTGCTGGCATTTGCAGAGGGACCCTGGCATCCGAATCCTACCGAAGTGCAACAGCAGCAGGTGTAATCATTTTCTCATGTGCTCGAATGATTTAAAAGCTGTGGGCTGGTGACAGGAATTCAGATTTAAATCACTTGAATGCTTTTCACCATGGATGCCTTGTTGAAATTCCCTTGAAAATCCTAACCTACATCAATACTGTTTGTTTTTATACATACCTGTACAATTACACACCTTAACATATTGCAGGAAAACAAAACCATGCCAAACTGTAGTCATATTCAGAAAGCTACAGGGAACTAGACAACTTCTGAGTGAATTAATGCAAAACTTGATTTCTAACAGTGACACAGACTTTAGCAACACCTGACAGAAGTGCTGCAGTTTGTAAAATGCTACCAGAAGTTCAGGTAAGTAAAACTAACGTAAAATCAAGAAGAGTGGCTGCATTTGAAACTCATCTTGCTGGACTCATCAATTATTACTTAACAATATTTGTACATATAAGTGCACATAAAATATACATAATTAGTTTCCTTTGGTCTCCCCAGGGACTGGGACCCCTTTCTGCGAGGCACGGTACGAGGTTGGTACGCCAAAGGGGTGTTCCTGTCCCGAGGTGCCACCACCACAGCACACAGAAGGCAGAGGAAGGATCAGGGCCCTTGCCCAAAGGCGCAGCAGGGTTGGTGGGGATTAGGAAGGGTCCTTGCCATGCCACAGCCCGGCCGCCAGTGCCACGGCCACAGCTGATCTTCAGAACTCCTTGCTGTGATAAACACAATGCCGAGATAAGGAGCAGGCAGTGAACTTTACATTTGATTTTCTTGGGGGGCATATTGCAGCCTGAAACTTTTCGGATATGTAATTTTTGAAACACGTCACGTTGTGCTTTTCTCTTTTTTTTTTTTTTTTTTACATGGGCCCTTGAAAAGAAAACAGGCCCCATAGTGAAGTTGACATGATAAATTAGTATGGCCCTGACAAAGCCCTCACTCTTCATTGGGCAAATACTTATTTATGGACTTTCAAATTGTGGCTTATGTAACAACAGGGTGAGTGACTTTCAAAAAACCTCCGCCATGTATTGACCTGATAGAGCCTAATGGGTCCTTCAGAGCAATTAGGATTTATTGTGTTAGCGTCTACTGTGTATAGAGACCATTTTAAAAACGTGTTATTTACCCAGAAGGCAGTAATGACTGTTTAAATACACAGTTAGATTGTTTCTGAAATGCTTGCTGCCCTATACATTGCAAATAAGTTATTCCAAGTATTTTTCAGAGTTAAATACTTTGCTCCACTGGGATTCCCAAGCAGGGTGATTGTACTGCACATACATTTGTATGCTTATAGCTGTAAGTGAATTGAGCTCTCAGGAAAGCTGCCAAATGAGCGACTTCGAAGCATGAAATCTGAGATTTTTTCTTGACCAAGGGGCCAGTGCTTGCCACTCTAGTGGTCTGAGCAGCTCAGGCCCTTTCCCAGCTGAGAGAGCAGGGCATTTCCCACAAACCACCCAAGTTTTGCCCTGTCGGATCTGAATGTCCAGCAAAGGTGACCTTAACAGCCATGAAGCTGTTAAGCCACCATGGCGCATCTAACCCTCTATGTGCACGTGAGGTGGGACCATCACCACTTCCCTGTAACCTACTGGGGGCCGGCATAGAAAAATACAAGTGGTGTTGGCTTCTGAACACTGGTGCAGATTTGAGAAGCCTAACCCCTGGCCAGGCTCCTCGGCAGGTGTGAAGAAGCACAGCTTCACTACCCGGTGCTGGCTTACACCAGCTTTGACTCTGACCACATGAGTAAAACAAAACCCCAACTCACACAAGGGAGCTATCAAATGCCTCTATGAAATAATAATAATATACACTAATTACTGCTTGCTTTACCTTCAGACCAACGCTGTTTTGATCAATGCCATCTCTAAATAGGTATTTCCTTTTTCCGCCCTCTCCTTTGCTGTGAGAGACCTTCAGGGTGAAACCGCTCAAAGCAGTTCAGCTTAGGCACAGTGCTTTCCCTGCCCTGCCTCATGTCACAACCTTTGGAAACTTGTTTCTATTTGCTTGTTTCACACCTAAATTAAAATAATATCTGTTAGAGTTGCAGCACTTTATTTCCAGGAACAAAAGTACTAAGCAGTTTTCTAATCCAGCAAAGAGAGAGACGGGTTAGAGAAACCTCTGACTGAAAATGTTGTAGCAAGTACTTTGGAATTAGGATGCAAGTTTGTAATGGCCAATGTGCAAAATCCTCTGGAGAAAACACTCGAGCAGCCTGGACTGAAGCTGGCTGAAACTTGCTATTTCTGTTTTGTGGAAAATTCCAACATTAAAAAACAATGTAAAACATACCAGTTTGTGCCAAGCAGGGCAAGCTGCCCGTACTTCTGAGAAATCCTGCAGCATCAGGAAAAGCTAGGAGGTTTCCTGTCGCAACGTGGAGAAGTCCTAGAAGCCCCCTGCCTGGGGAGGCCTTGGGAGCACAGGACGGGGGAGGTCCTGAAGTGGGGGACACAGAAATCCTGGGGTGCCAGGAGCTTGCTGGTTAACCAGGCAGAATTCAGCCAGGAATCAGCCCAGTGAGCACTTGCCCCTTAGGTCCTGCCTGGCTTTCAGAGAAAGTCGGTCCGTCAAAATAGAAATGTTTCCAAGAAATTTTCTGTCTATGCTGAACTGGCACCTTACAAAAAAACTGCTATCAGTGTGAACATCTGCGGTTATGGGTGGTCTCTCCTGGCCTTAAAATTCTATGAATTGGTGAAAAATATATGATAACAACTGTCGCTGTCAAGAGTGACTTCAGTCTGTGTTCAGAATAGTTCAAGTTCAGTCTGGCCTTTCCTGAAAATACAAAGTTTCATACAATCAAAATAGGTTTCAAACACATAAGCTGCTTTGACTGCATTTCTTCACTAACCTCTCAAGACACTGTGATCAAGATTTTTCAGATACAGTGATTCTGGACCCTCTTGAGGCAACCTTAAGAGATCTCTATTTCCAGAAATTATTACGGACCTGTCCTCTGGAAATTGGACTCCTTTATGACATGCCACATTGCCCACTCAAGATCAGAGGCAATCAAAAATCACACAACATTTGAAAGCTTTATCCTGTAGGCGTACTCATCTGTAGTACCCTAGAAGGAGAAAGTTCATATGCAACACACACGTGCTGTGTTTTCAGGTTTTCATGAACCAGTAAGTATCAAGGCCAGAGACCTCCTGAAACAGTGATGTCCTCTCCCTGACCTTTTAGGCATTCTTGCTAAGACCAGGCACTTCAGATTCTCCGTATCTGCTTTTGACATCCTTGAAGTGCTTGACATGGGACTGGAGGAATATTTGAAGCTAAGGCTTAGTGAGTCATGTCATTCACATCAAATGAACCAAATTATGTTGAAATACAGATTTAAATCCCTGCATGATCAACATTTATTGGACACAAGTAAAAAGAGACAGAAACAGATGAAAAGGCAATTAGCACTAGCTGGAACTATACATGTTTTGATTACTTCCTTCTCCAAGTCATTCATGGAATAATGTAATATAATACACAGGTCAAAGCGATTTTGGAAAGGATGTTGTTAGCAACCTTCACATTCAGGCATTAGTTAGATGTGAAGAATTAATACATGCAAGTGATCCACAGAGCTCAATCTTAAATAGCAACAGCTTTAGCAGGGACTAGCGTTACAGAATTGGAGCACATCAAGAGATTTCCTGGGCAAAAGAAGGAATCCATTCTCTAAATCCTGTACCTCACTGCTTTGTGCAGCACCATCAAGCACACAATGATGTTACCGTGCTTGGGATATGTCCTGGTGGT